ACTTCTGCAAGGGAGCCTCGAAATGACAAGGTCTTTCTTCCCCCCCACGCCCCCACCCTGATTAAAATAAGTGGCGGGAGATAACCGTGCTTAAGATGAAGTGTTTTTAATTGGGGGGGTAGGTGGTCTCTCCTCTTCCCCCCCCCCTTGACTGCAATACTTGCCTTTTGGGCTAGCTCAGTATTGTAGAGACGTGTGGGGTTGGGGGGGGGAAGGCCCACGTTTTGCATTGGTTTTTTTTGGGGGGGAAAGAGAGGTGGTAATTTGTATTGTATTGCACTGGTTTTGATTATTGGGGGGGTTTGTGAAGTCAAGGGGGTAAATAAAGGTTTCTCATGATTACTTTTCTAGGATGATTTGGATGGGGGGTGGAAATAAGGGGGGCATTTTCTCTTTTTGGTGTCTCCTGGAGCATGGGAGGTGAAAAAAAATCGTTTGGGTTTGTGTGTCTCTCTATTTGGTGTCTCCTGGAGCATGGGAGGTGGAAAAAAAATCGTTTGGGTTTGTGTGTCTCCTGCTGCACAATCCTTCTCTTTCTGGGCAAGGCTTTAGGCCTGGAAGTTTTAGGAAGTCTCTCTCTCTTCCCCCCAATTCAATGTTTAAATCATCTTTGTTGTAATGTATAATGTATACTGTTCTCTCTTTCTTGCTATTTTACTTTGCAACTTTCCATCTTCCTGTGTATCATATTTGTTTCATTTTTGAACTTGAATCAGACCATTTTCAAACTATGCTTGTTTGAACTGGAAGCATTTAATGATCCTGCTCTGCAATTATTATTATTTTTCTTCTTTTAGGATCCAAGTCAGCCTTGTATTGACCTTTGCAAGCGACCATGCCCAGTGAGAGGTGAGTAGCATGTCTGTCTGCTCTCCACCACCCCCTTTTTTTGGGCAAGGCCTGTTACAGAATTGTAGGCCTGGAACTCTTCAACAAATCCCAGATAAAACTCTTACGTCATGTATTCTTGCTCACATAGTGTTACTAGAGGAAAGAAATTGATCCACTTTTTAATATTAACAATTGGAATTATAAAAGCCATGTGCCTGGCATAAGATGATGAGTTCTAGTCTTGATCTCTTTGCAGTGATCTTAAGGATGTAAAAGCTTCCGCAGAGGACCAAAGTACTGCTGACTTTGCTGTTAGAACTCGCAAAAGAAAAGCCGATGTCGTAATAGTAAGTGCACTATTGTAGGAAAGGAAAATAATTTTCACTATCATTACCCCAATGAAGTCTTGTTGGTGTGAAGGTAAACATTTAATCCATCCATTTGAAGGATCTCCTTTTCTTCTGCTCTGAAAAGTTCATTCTGTGAAATTAACTACTCAGGATGGGGTTTGACCACCCAGGGGTCTTATTTATAGTGTGCATTTGGATACAGCATTCAGGTAGAATACTGGCGTGCCATCTACAAGCATCCTGTTGGTACATACTTCCACTCTTTTCTTCCTGGAAGCAGAGATAGTTAATGAAACCATGCTCAAGGGCCCATGGTTCAGTTAGCTACCTAGGTTTGTAGGGAGGGGCAAACAAGAATGATTGGGTGCATCATCTCATAAATGGTAAGTCAGGAGTGTTGGGTTATCAGAACAAGGTCATTGTCTCTTATTTAACCTTGGTCAAGTGCAGTGGTGCCTTGCTTGAGGAGGATAATTCGTTCCGTTCAAATCGCTGTTAAGCTAAATCCTCGCCAAGTGAAATGAAAAAGCCCATTGAAAGGCATTGAAAACTGGTTCAATGAGTTCCAATGGGCGAAATACCTCAGTGTCCAACAAAGATCCTCCATAGGGCAGCCATTTTCCAGTGCCTGTAATGTGAGGAATCCGTCCTAAAGCACAGCAGGAAGCCATTTTGCACAGCGGGCGGCCATTTTGAAACTCGTCAAGCGAAAAAGCGGTTCCCGAAGTAGGGAACCGATCAACATTAAGGGAAAAAAGGCCATTCAGTCATCGTTTAGCGATCGCAAAAAACTAATCGGCAAGCGATTTCCTCATCTAACGAGGTAATCGTCAGGCAAGGCACCACTGTATTCCATTAAGCCAAGATCACAACTATGCGAAAAACAGTCTTTTTCTGTTTTTATTATTGCATTGCTTTTAAGAAAGGGCAGCAGTGATGGCTACTTGCCCCTTAGCCTTTGGCTAGGGATAAGTCTAGAAGCACACACTCAGATGTTGCTCCATTTGTCTTTGTGCTGAGTGGCTATGATTTTCCTTGGTTTTAGACCTCAGTATTTCCTGGCAGTCCTATTTGAAGATGCCAGGGATTGAATCTGGGACCTTTTGTATGTAAAATATTATCTGAGATCACCTCCCCAAGTTAAGAGGTGGGAAATTTAGGACAGGGCATATTTTTTTCACAGTTAAATTGTATAATTGCCATGAGATGCAGTGATAGCTACCCACTTGAGCAGGTTTAAAAGGACATAACATTTTTGTGGAGATTCCAAGTCATGGGTGAAATCATAGGCTATCAATAGCCAATAATATAACTCTGTATATAACTTCTAATACCAGAGGTATCGTGGGAAACATGAATGGAGGGGTACAGTTCCCTCTTGTTGGCATGTCTCCCACATGCAATTGGTTGGCCACTGTGTGGGCAGAATCTTGGATGAGGTGAGTCTTTGGTCTGATCTAGCATGGCTCCTCTGAAGTGTATGTTGTACCACTGGGCTATGGCTTTTTGCCACAGCTGCAAAAAGCTTTTACTGTGGACCTGGTGCAGCTGCGGATCTGTCAGAACAGGGACGCAGTGTGACCCTATCCAAAATGAGACAGTTCATACAGAGAAGCAAGCCCTTAGCAGTAATGGCTCATATGTGTAAGTGTAGCAGGTGCATTAATGTTTGAATTTATTCAGTGAGAGGTACAATCTCAGAGCTGTGTATTTCGTTGACTACTGGTTTTCTGAATTCCTTCTTTACTGTGTAGTTTTTACAAGATCCAGATGAAGACCTTGGAGAAATAGATATGACCAGGAAGAGACAGAATGAAAGCCAGGTAAAAATTGTTGGGATGCTGGTTTGGAACCTAGTAATAATGTAGTAGTAGTGAGTCTTCTGCCATCTTTAAAAACTTGACTAATTATGGCATGAACTTTTGCATGCTGGAGTCCACTTCATCAGAGATACAAAGTTATATCCTGGTTTGAAAATTTCCATTTTTTCTGGGGGGAAACTTTTTTTCTCAGAAAAAAATTGTATGTATGTAAAGTTGTCTAGACTGGATCGACTGAGAAATGGAAATTTCAATTCCCGCCCCCCCAGGAAAATGTTTTTTTTCACCTATTTTTGTTCTGGGGGAAAATGGAAATATTTGGAAATTTTATATCTGTGTCCTGGTTTGCATCTAAATATGCATGTTGATTGGAGGGGGAGTAACTAGAAATAGTTATCATATAGTGGTATTGTAATTACAACTTTATTAGGTTATAAAGTACCCTTTTTCCCCTAAAATAAGTCCTACCCCAAAAATAAGCCCCCCCCCTAAAATAAGTCCTACCCCAAAAGTAAGCCCCAGTTAAGTGAAGCCCCACCCTCCACCACTGTGCAGCAACCAGAAGATGATGACATGACTGTATTTGAATAAAGGTAGATGGCTGTACATGGAAAAAAAAAACATCCCCTGAAAATAAGCCCTAATGCGTTTTTGGAGCAAAAATTAATATAAGACCCTGTCTTATTTTCGGGGAAAGAGGGTATTAAATGTAAAATTCTTATAATAGATCATACATTCAAGTTGAGGTTTTTTTCTCTTGCTGCTGTTTATTGTTAGGAGTACATCACCGATTTGTCCTGTGAAAACACCTTATTAAAATGATGTTAGTATGAATCTAAATTTTCAGGATTCATGACTGCTGAGTGTATCTAAAAATTATAATTCAAAGTGATGATAGCTGATGTATATCTCTCCTATGGATATAAAAGCATGTGTATCACTAAGACATAATGTGATGCATAGTGTGCCAATTCACATACTGTAGGTGCTGAGGTATTGTTTGATAGAGTATTATTACCTAATTGTGTTTTATAATACATCTTTAACAAAAGCAAATGCAAACCCACTTTTTCAGTCAGTGGAGAATAAGAAGTTGCAGAATAAATAAGCAGACAAAATAGTCTTTAGCATTCTGCTGAAGGCTGTGCTCTTTGGTGCACAGCAAAGACTTCCTGGTTTCTTTGTATCTTCTAATATGAAATTTTGGACAGTTTGGTATTCATAGTTCAGTAACTAAATACAGTCTTGACCTTTGACAGTGTGCCCCAGACTCTTCTAGATAGTTTGAGTCTTCCCTCCAGGGAGGAGGACACAGGTTGGTCCTTGGAGAACAAGGTCTAGCTTCAGCTTCCTTCCTCTCCATCCATACAAATCTCTCTCTCTGTGTGTGTGGGGGGGTGGTCATGGTCATGTTATGCACAGGAACTTGAGTTTGTAGTATCCAAAGCCTACAGTCTTTAGACCCATACCCACACACAAGTGACATGGGGATGGGAGAGATGTCCCCATTCTGGAGGTGTCATAGAGAATTCCTCTCCCATTCATTGCTTCTGGGGGGGAAAGTAATTTAAATGAGGAGAAAATGACAAATTGGATGCAAGGGTTCATCCTCTGTCAGAACTCCCTATTACAGCTGGTAGGTGTTCTGTATCTCTGTGTGAGTTGTGGGTGAGACATAATATTGCCTCTCCTTTGCTCATTAATTTCTGTCAATCCACCACCTCTTTGCTATAAAGCAGAATATTTAGGGCAGATTTTTGTGACTCTCTACCATTTACTTCCAGCAGCCTTTTCTGCTAGTATATATTGGTGAGAATGCCAGACATGTTTGTACTTTTAATTTTAAAAAAACCTTTTTCATTCCTGTGTTTTTGTTATACAGGACTATGCAGAACATATTTTCTTGATAGTTGGACATCTCTATGACAGTGTGAAATTTGGCTGGTGCTTGAAAAGAGGACCCCTGTTTTCTTTCTTGTGGCAGCATTCATTGGCGTGGTTAGAACTGTGAAAATAGTGATCAGGAAATGTATGTTTGTAGAGTGTAGGCTAAATCCAAAATGTGATGCTTTTTACCGATTACAGCAGCTGGAGGCTAATGCTGTCATAACAGATGGCCTTTGTTTGTTCTGTATTCTGTTTGCTGCCGTTGCCTATGCCAATTGTCAACCTGTTAAGGGTTTTCTGGATCTTTCCCTTTGCTGAAGGAATTTCTTTCCTTTCTGTCTTCATCTTTGCGCACTCCTTTAAAAAGGCAAAGTCCGAGCAAGGGAAAAGGTACAGTCTATCTTTCAAATGTGTCTTTCAACAGGTCCACTGTTCAGGGCTGGGTTACAGCTTCCTTAAGAATGTACAGCTCGCAGTGGCAAATCCCAATTTGCCACCATTTTGTGTGGGCAGCAGGCTCCATGTATGGCCATATTTGTGTTGAGTAGGATGGTGGTTTTCTGTTTGCCTTTGCAGACCGTTTTGCACAGCGTGTTGGTTATTTGAATTATTTGAACAGTGGTTGTATCTTCCCCTTTCACGTAGTCTTTTGGTAAAAAGTGCAAGAATCTCTATGATTATGGTCAGGATTTCCAAAGCAAAAGTTGTATGAAACATACGTTTGCATAAATGTTCTGGCCTTGGAGCACTTACTGAAGTAAAGCTGTCTCTCAGCCTCTGTTGCTGCGTAGAGAACATGGAAGCTTTTTTGTGTATTGTTCTAGTTATCTTGTATGTTCATGAAATCAACATTTTGGCAACTCAGCAGCAGCAGTTTTGTTAGTCTGTAGTGTGATATTCTGTAAGCCAAAAACCAGAATAATATTGTGTAGTTGCACATGTCCAAGTGAAGTGGTGAATTACCAGTAGTTAATGTGTTACTATTTGTTTCCCTCATTATACTCTTGATTCATATGACTGGTGTGTGATGGGGAACACATGTATCAGCTTGTCAATTTGCTGATTTTTACACCATTGCACTTATGCCACTGTGACTAACCACTAGGATTCTGACCATCTTCTGGTATGAATTACCTGCAGCAGTTGACAAACATAGGTAAAGGTAAAGGTTCCCCTTGACATTTAGTCTGGCCGTGTCCGACTCTAGGGGGCGGTGCTCACCCCGGTTTCAAAGCCATAGTGCCAGCATTTGTCCGAAGACAGTTTCCGGGCTCACGTGGCCAGCACGACTAGACACGGAATGCTGTTACCTTCCCACCGAGGTAGTGCCTAGTCATCTACTCGCATTTTTACATGCTTTCGGATAGGTAGGTTGGCAGGAGCTGGGACAAGCGACGGGAGCTCACTCCATTGCTTGGATTCAATCTTACGATCTTGCTGGTCTTCTGACCTTGCAGCACAGAGGCTTCTGCGATTTAACCCTGCAACACCACCACGTCCCTGGCTGACAAACATAGCACACTATAAATTGAAAAGCAAGAGCAGCATAAGAATGTTGTTGTTTAGTTGTTAAGTCGTGTCCGACTCTTCGTGCCCCCATGAACCAGAGCATGCCAGGCCCTCCTATCTTCCACTGCCTCCTGGAGTTCAGTCAAATTCATGTTGGTCCCTTCAGTGACACTTTCCAACCATCTCGTCCTCTGTCGCCCCCTTCTCCTCCTGCATTCACCCTTTCTCAACATCACGGTCTTCTCATGAGATGGCCAAAGTATTGGAGCCTCAGCTTCAGGATAAGACTAGCACATATTATTAATAAAATAAAATATGTGTATCTCAATTGATGAATCACCTTGTGACATTCTCTTGTAGAGAAGTGCTGTTGTGTCTGCATACAGAAAACATGCTGCTTATTAGTGACTTCAGTCTAAACTAAGGGCAGAATTGCAGTACAGTTACCCTTTTATAAGATGAAAGGGCAATTGTGCCACCCGGCTGGCAGAAGCCAAGTGTTTCATCCTGCACCCATCTAGATCTTAAGGCAATTGGGCCAGGAATAAAGAGTCAAAAGTATTTCTCAAACAAGCTGTATTTATTAACACATAAACCTATTGCTTGGTAGGAAGCAGTAGAAGTTGAAACTGACATTAATTCTCCTAGAAACTATGGAGGGAAGTGGAAGTAGGAAAATATCAATGATGGTGTTTCCTCCACTGCATTTTCTGCCTTGCTTGTAATTATCTGTTACTTCATACACTCTGTCTAGTAGGCCAAAAGTTACGTCTAAAGGGCGAGCCCATTTTTTTTCAGATGATAAGCATTCATAAAATGAGTGTGTTCATCTCAATATTTTAATTCAGTGTGGGCAACTCCTTCTATCAAAATAGAAGACTGCAGATGATTCATGTATATTTTAATTAGCATTTTTTCATGACTAGCTTTGGCACGTTTTTCTGCATATAATACTTTCATGGTTTTTGGAACATCTTTTCGCAGTTAGGAAGTCTTGCTGCATTGTGAACAAGTGTGAGGATTTTCTGGTGTGCCTGAACCTACACTAAAGTCTTTATAGAATTGTACAAGCCTGTAACTTAGATGTTGCTTTCTTTTGTCTCTGTACCAGTGTAGTATCTCATACAACATTCGGACACAAAATTCATGTCCACTCTTCTCAGTTACGTAATCAGAGCGAATAAAAATTAGTGATACTTTAAAAATCAAATTGATTTAAATCACAGTTTTAATTAAAATAATCCATTTTTTTTTTCATTTAAATTGTCAGAAAATCTAGGGGGTTTTGGACAATTGTTAAGGTGAAGAATCTGTGGTTAGCCATGGGATTTCCAGATTTGGGGGGTGGACTACAAATCCTGTAATTCTCTATTCTGGAAGTTGCGACTAACACATGAATGTGGTTCCCTTGGGAGAAAGGCTTAAAGTAGAAGGCTGGGTGGCCTGTCTGGGTCGACCTTTTTTTTAAGCTTCCTGTTCAGAAAGGAAGCTCCTAGAGAGTAGCGGGACAACTTCCTATCTGCAGACGAAACTAGGCAGGGCCAGGCCAGGCCAGAGCAATGCCTTCCAGCTTAGCCACATTTAGGTGTCTGTCAGGTGGAATTCCCAGAATGAAAAACTATGTGATTTGTAGTCCAAAACCTCAAAAAAAAAAAAGATCTTATTCCTGTCTGTGGCCCTTCAGATTATTTTGGACTCCTAATTCCCATCCAAACCAGCCGGTATGTCTCATAGTGAGGGTTGTCAGGAATAGTATTTCATCATAAGCTGGACAGCCACAGGTCCTTCGCTCCTTCAGAAGAGATTTTCAGTATCTGTAGAGCTCCGGATTCAGAATCTAAACATCAACTTTTTAAAGCCATTACCTGACTGAGGTTAAGCTCTGGCCATCTTGAGGGCACTGTGGCGTCCTACCAGTGCAGGTTCACAGTGATGTGAGAACAGTTAATTCAGGGACTGTATGTGAGCTAGATATCTGGCTGCAGGGTCTAAGGTTGGGACTTCGATTCCCCTGCTGTGCCTCCTGAGAGATGAGACAGCCTGGGTGGCCTTGGGCAAGCTGCGCAGTCCCAGGGCGCCCCCTAGAGGAAGGGAATAGTAAACCACTTCTAAGTATCCTCTGCCTGGAAAAACCTGAAAAGGGTCACCATAAGTCATAGTTGACAGCAGATGATGATAATGATGATTATGGAGAATTGGCTCTTCATTTAACATCTTCACCGCTGGGAACCTTAATTTCCCTCCTTTGTTTTTCTTTAATATTAAGTGATATAAAGACAGAGCAAAGAAACAAAGGGGGAGAGGAAGCACCAGCAAAGGAGGCAGGAGGGACCGTTTGTTGACCTACAGATACACATATTTGGATATATAATAGTTAAAACAATACGTATTCTTTGTTTCACCAGGTCCCCTTAAAAACATGCCATGTAGCACATGACCAAGTTGTTTCATAGGAGACAACTCAGTTGAAAGTTGCTGAGGGATGAGTGGCTTAGGAGGAATGGTGACAGCAGCCATTTAGTTGTTTAGTCGTGTCCGACTCTTCGTGACCCCATGGACCAGAGCACCAGGCCAGGCCCGCCTGTCTTCCACTGCCTCCCGGAGTTGTGTCAAATTCATGTTGGTCGCTTCGATAACCCTGTCCAACCATCTCGTCCTCGGTCGCCCCCTTCTCTTCTTGCCGGCACACTTTCCTAACATCAAGGTCTTTTCCAAGGAGTCTTCTCTTCTCATGAGATGGCCAAAGTACTGGAGCCTCAGCTTCAGGATCTGTCCTTCCAGTGAGCACTCACGGTTGATTTCCTTTAGAATTGATAGGTTTGTTCTCCTTGCAGTCCAGGGGGACTCTCAAGAGCACCACAATTCAAAGGCATCAATTCTTTGGTGGTCAGCTTTCTTTATGGTCCAGCTCTCACTTCCATACATCACAACAGGAAAAACCATAGCTTTGACTACTCGGACTTTTGTTGGCAAGGTGATGTCTCTGCTTTTTAAGATGCTGTCAAGGTTTGTCATCGCTTTCCTTCCAAGAAGCAAGCGTCTTTTAATTTTGTGGCTGCTGTCACCATCTGCAGTGATCATGGAGCCCAAGAAAATAAAATCTGTCACTGCCTCCATGTCTTCCCCTTCTATTTCTCAGGAGGTGATGGGACCACTGGCCATGATCTTAGTTTTTTTGCTATTGAGTTTAGTCATGCCTAAATATGAAACCAAATTCTTGAAAGCCAGGCAGATGTCAGTTTAGACAAAGTGATATTTAGAAGTTTTATCCAGCAAGGAACCTGTTGGGTATAACTTCTAAATATCATTCAGTCTAAACTGACATCTGCCTGGCTTTCAAGATCTTGGTTTCATATTTAGTCATGACTAACTCATTACTCCCAAGCTACTCTCAGTTCTGAGTTTCCCATAAGACAACTTGGTTATGTTGTACATGGTGCATTGGTCGAGGTGAAACAAATAGTACCTACCATTTCAGCTAAGATTACACACAGGGCTGTGGTTATTAAAAACCTGAAACTTTGGAGGAAGCCGTTTTCAGAAAACCTTAAGCGTGGATATGTAGCATGTCTGTACAATTAAAACATGAGCAACTTTGAAGCTCTGGTTTTTAAAAAAAGTTATTATATTTCTTTATTCATTTTTATTTTGTTGTAGAATGTAGCTACATTTATACCACAGTTGCAAAATATATGCAGCTTTAGCTGCTGGCTTGAGGTTCCCAGTGCTTGGGTTGGTTGGTTTTACTTCTCCCCTTAGCAGTCAAGTTACCTACTTCACTTTCTTTTTGGCATGCTATGTTCACATGAGTATAATTTTCCAGAATGCACAATTTCAGAATGCATAGACTAGAACCTGGGTGCCATTGTGCAGTTGGCATTTCCACTTTTCCACATAGACTTTCTGTACTATAATTCTGAAGCAATTTCATGCCTTTTAAGTCTATTGTGTACATGCTTTAAGTGGTAACAGTCCTTTAGAATAAAGCAGCCAGAAGTTTTTTCTTTTTGTGTTCATTACCCGAGGAGAAAAAAGGTAACTGTTTTGGACTCCCATCTGTTTTCTCCCACCTGAAGTCCTAATCCCTCTGTTTCTTGATTTCCACTATCAAGGACCTCACCATCAGGTGGGAAATAGACAGATGGGATTTCAGAACCTAAAGCCAGTCTTCCTTCATGCAAAATGTTTATTTGTCTGACAGAATAAATGCAGTGCTTCAAGAGTTCTTTTAAGAAGACCACTTGCTGCTTGGGTGGCAGTTTGTTTCTTCCCTTGAAGCAACAACAGCTTTTTAAAAAAGGAATTGTGAGAAGAAATCACCATATAGCTGAACACAGTGGTAGAAACTGTGCGAGAGAGAAAATCGTCCTTTTGACTTTTTGAATGCATCATATGGAGGATTAGCTGTTCAACGAACATCTTTACCATTGGAAAACTTAAAGTCCCTCCTTTGTTTTTCTTTCATTAGCCATCTTCAAATCATGATGCATGCACATTTCCACATATGCTGATCCCAACACCAGACAAAGAGGATGATCTGGGGAGTCCACACTTCTCCTCATTCATGCACCAAAGCTTTATTTCAGCTAGAGATTCACCATTGCCTGTCTTGGGGTAACTTCTTTTTTTTCTTATTTCATAGTCTACAACTTTATTCTTTTCTGGCAAACTTAACCTGTTATATACCCTTTCTCTCTTTTTTTTTGTTTGCAGCTGGGCGAATAGGGACGAAGTATGGAAAAGCATGATCAACAAAGAGCAGAAGTATATGAAGGATAAACTATACATGCAAAGGCATCCACTCTTGCAACCTAAGATGCGGGTAATTCTTCTGGACTGGTTAATGGAGGTAAGATTCTCTTGTTCAGCTGACTTCTGAAGATAAATATTCACCAGTGAAAGACTGTTGATCAGATTGTCTGGATAGGAAGATTAAGGACTTGATGAGTTAGGATTCCTAGCCTAAAATAGGAGGGTGGGATTTTTTTTTATCCTCTTAGTGTTTGCTGAACTATAATCCCTGTCATTTCTTACCATTGGCTTCGCTGGTTGGGATTTCGGAATGCACTAGTCTCTGATCTAAAAAGTGTAACATCAACAAAAGAACTTTATGCAGGACTCAAAGCTTGAAACTTCAGGTTTTAACCATGAGGTGTGCTAGTTGAAAGAGAAGCAAAAGAAGTGTTGTTAGGTAATAGGAGTTGAAAAGGCCTGGGTATGATCTGTTTTTCATCATCTGAGAGAATAAGCAGAAAATGAGTCCTTGGCAGTGAGTTGGATCCGGAGAGGAGAAGATTGGAAATTCCCGGAAGAGCAGGAATGCAGGGGGGACGGGACCCAGCGATGCCATCTTCCCCACCCAGTCCCCAGCTTTATGAGAGCTTCTGAGAATCAGGCAAAATACCTACCAGCAAGACTTCTAATGAAATCATGCAAATTATAGAAATCCAAGAACAGTAGTATATTTTACAAAACAAAGGCATCATAGAGAAACAAATGGGAAGGGTTAAGGAGCTTGAAACAGGAGTTGAGATAGTGGGTGAGGCACACACTAGAATCACAAAAGGCGCAGTGCTGATATGGTGATAATTGGATTGCATTTGGGAGTGGAGAAAGACTGGATTAGCCTATCTGAGATCTCCATTGCCCTGAGCATTTGCAAAGGCTGAGTAGCTGAGGAGCCCCAGTGCCTGGAGCTGTGAGCATTTTTTCAGGGTGACTGCCAGAGTCAAGGGAAAAGGAGGTGTCAAAGAGAAAGAAAGGTGACCTGCAAGCAAGCCATATTGTTAACAGGATTAATACATCTAGTTAGTTAATCCAGTTCAAATTGTAGAATTATTTTGCCTGTCATAACACCATGGCTCAGGATTATTCTGGTTTCCCCAAAGTTTAGGAAAATAGTGGTTTGCAATTTATATCGGTTTCCTTTAAAGTGTCATTAAGGGCTGTTAATAAGGAAGAAGGGGATGCTCAGTGTGGTGTAATGGATTGAATGAAGGACTAGGACTCTGGAGACCTGGGTTTGAATCCCTGCTCAGCCATGGAAACTGATTGGAGGAGTAGAACTGGTAAAGCCACTCTTTAAATATCTCACTTAACTTGGAAACCCTAGTAGGGTTGCTGTAAGTCAGTTCCAACTTCACAGCACAGAATGCACGTGTAACAAAAGGAAAGAGGGAGGAGATGAAAACTTATTTCGTCCTTCTGTTAATTACCACTATAGTTATTATCTCCTCCTTCCCTTGACCATGGTTTCTTCATATAGATGCCTTTCTATACTCCACTCTACCTTTTGCACTTTGTTCTGGTGGGGCTGCTACTTAGTGTTGTGCTGAAACCAGAGGGACTTCCGTCCTTTCCCCATAGAGCTCTGTGAACTGAACTTTTCTGTGTTGTCTTGAGATGGGCCAGTCTCAAAAGAAAAAGCAAATCTGTTCCAGATTCCAATAGCCTCCCGGTTATCCATGAAAACCCATTTCCACTTAGCAAAACACCTTTAAACCACCTTCAGTTTGTGCTTTAAAGAATAAAACAGGAGAACCTATCTCTCATCGATTAAGGGAATGTATGCCTATAGTATAGCATAATAGGCTGAAATTCTGTTGCATGTTAGAGATGTAACATTTCCAGAAATGTTGAAGCCATATAAAACAGCTTTGGAAAAAAGCAGAAAAAGGCTTTTCTTTCCATTTTTTCCCATGCCTTCCCATCTCTAGGCAAGGTGTAGTCTCAGCTAGAAATGTAAAATTCCCAGAAGTCTTAAAGCTATATATAAAATGGCTTTGGAAGAAAACTGGAAAAATTGGAGGGGGGGGGAGTTTTTTTTCTTTTTTTTCCAAAAGTCATTTTATCTGGCTTCAAAATTTGGGGGGGGGGAGAGGGTTTTTTATTATTTTTTTTTCCAAAAGTCATTTTATCTGGCTTCAAAATTTCCAGAAATTTTACATCACAGTTATACAAACTGTGTAAATTTTAGCAGTGAATTGCTGTACATTAAGCAATTTCCATAAGTATTATCTTTTGCATACCCAGTGTGCAACAGATAATACCTATGGAGATCTCCTAAATTATGGTGATTGTCAACTGAATGTTGCACCTTTTGCCTAACTGCAACAGGATTTTGCCCAACGCGTTCCCATTATAACCGAATGGTTACTGAATAATGCTATAAGGTGGGGTAACATTTTTACCTGGTTGCAGGTTTGCGAGGTCTACAAGCTTCACAGAGAGACATTTTATTTGGCGCAAGATTTCTTTGACCGTTTCATGGCAACGCAACAGAACATTGTCAAGACGCTTCTGCAACTTATTGGCATTTCATCGTTATTCATAGCTGCAAAGCTTGAGGTAAAATGAAGTCCAGGCTGCATCACCATCTCTGTGATAAACCCATTAAGGAGTAGTTCCCTATTGATCATATTTGGCCCCTTAAAGGCCAGATTTGGCTTCAGGACCTTAGTACGCTGCAAAACTTGAGGTAAAATGAAGACCACGCTGCATCACCATCTCTGTGATAAACCCTATTGATCATATTTGACCCGTTGAAGGCCAGATTTGGCTTCAGGACCTTAGTATCCCACCCATCCACTTCCAGTTTGAAAGAATAGTTGAGTCCTTAATAAATATTGACGCTACAAAGAATGTGTTTCAAATGAGCCAAGAGGACTTGGAAAATTCAGCTGGAAAAGAGCAGTTTTATATCTTCTTCACATACATTTTAAGAGCAGCCCCTATTGAGCAGTTTTATGTATTTTTCACATACATTTTAAGAGCAGCCCCTATTGCATGGCTGCATTGTAAGTTGGAAGAGGCTATGATCCTTGACAGATCTGTGTTGCTGACAGTAACTGTGATATGTGAATTTGCTATTGCATTATGTTTGCAGTTATTGCTTGCCCTGATTGATCGGAGCTCAAGAAATCTGTCTCTCTCAAAGTAATTCTGTTAACCCAAAACGTAGACATTGAAAGCTGTCAAGTGTCTGAAACCATCTGGCTTTGCCATTTTCTGCTATTCTAAACACCGCAGTTGACAAATATAGTTATGTCTTTTTATTTCTACGTTTCAGGAAATCTACCCTCCGAAATTGCATCAGTTTGCATACGTTACAGATGGCGCTTGCACAGAAGAAGAGATTCTTAGTATGGAACTCATAATTATGAAGGTATGTACGATTCTGTGTGTGTGTAATAAGATTAAAAAAGAAGCAACACTATTTAAGGAAGCATTCTGCTTTTAAAAACCTTCACACTCGATACTAGTGAATTCCAGTTACAGTTATATTTCTAACATCTTTTACCATTGGCCATGCTGGGTGGGGGCTGATGGAAGATGATAGCCAACATTTGAAGGGATGTGTGTAATAAGATTAAAAAAGAAGAGTGGTCTTAACCGACCAGATAGGCGGGATATAAATAAAATAAATAAATAAAAATAAGAAGAAGAAGCGACACTATTTAAGGAAGCATTCTGCTTTTAAAAACCTTCACACTCGATACTAGTGAATTCCAGTTACAGTTATATTTCTAACATCTTTTACCATTGGCCATGCTGGGTGGGGGCTGATGGAAGATGATAGCCAACTTTTGAAGGGCAGAGTAGGCTTCCCGTCATCAGTTCTACAAGAAAAAACAGATTTTTGTTGAGGGATACAGTCCCTTTTGGGGGTACATTCTGGTGATCCTTGGGGTTTCTGGGCTACCCATGAAGGCCCTTCTTTCTCCATTTTCATGATGGGAACCATAGGGCCAAGGATCAGACATGGGTCAAAAGTACCCCATTCCTGTTTCTAAGGCATCTTGGCTCTCCAGCTCTTTTTGTCTGCAGCTTCTGGGAGCCCCATCCACCCTGGCAGTTCTAAGGAACTGTAAGCTAAGATAGTTGGAGCCCGAAGCTTCCATATCCTGGCTTTTCATAATGTGGTCTGATGTGGTGAGCTTACCCATTGTCATGCCCTAGATCAGCGATGGTGAATCTATGGCACGCGTGCCACAGCTGGCACGTGGAGCCTTTTCTCCTGGCATGCGAGCTGTAAGTCGCCGGATCGCTACTCACACCCTCCCGGCAGCCAAACCTGAGCAGGTGGCTGCAGTCGCGGTGCTGGTGCCCTGACAGGCGGCAGGTCAGGATCCGGAGCAGCTGGTGCTGGCAGTGGATACAGAGTGGGGTCTCGAGGCACCTTTGTGCCTTGGATTCTCCCTTCCACCGCCACCAATTCCAGTTCACCACCACTGCCCTAGATGAATCCAGGTTAATAATTCTGTTTTCCATGACTATTCTTTATAATAACTCTGGATGGAAGTCTGCTCATTTTGAGATTTCTTGGATAGCTTAGTTGATCAGCAAAGGCTCTGGGTTACTCCTGGTAAAGAAGTGCAGGGCGTGTACTCTTGTAATACATTCTTGTTAGTTCTTAATAGCAAGAGCATGAATTAATGGCCTCAAACCAAGAGGAATTATTTCCTGACCGTTCATTACCAAACCACAGTGTTGAAGATATTTTTAGAAGTTGCAAATTCAATTCAGATACATCTTTGTGCATAAATATAATGAAACAATTTATAAACACGTGCCATGTTCTTGTATACAGATCAGCAACATGCAGATATGTATCAATTGTCAAACCAAAGCCAACATCTAAATTCTTTGGTTACACTGGGAAAGATAGAATATAACTTACCTGCCTTTCGGAAATGGTCAACACTCCAGCCTCTCAGATAGGCTGTACTGCTAAATACTAGTTTACATAAATGCATTTGTCAGTTGACAGTATACAGTAGATCTGTTCTAAACCCTTCTTGGGAAACTAAAAAGTTAGTCAGTTACACTAGGGGTTGACAGTATAGATCTGTTCTAAACCCTTCTTGAGAAACTAAAAAGTTAGTCAGTTACACTAGGTTAGGTTACTTTTCAGTACACACTCCCTGTAACTATGGAATTTAGCAGTTTGTATATTTCTGTGTGTGGCAAATTGCTAAATGCTCAGCTGTATTTCATTGGGAAATTGTGCACTTTTTTTACTGTATTTAGAAGCATAAATTAATCTGTATAATCCAGAACCTAGAATTATTGTTGCTACATACTCCCTGTAAGACTCTTATATATGAAATATTATTTTTATATGAAATTATCTTCCCTGCCATCTCAATCCTTTTGTTGTTGCAGCATCCATAAGGGGTTAGGCTAGGACTGGCTTACTGTGTCATTCAGTCTGATGGCTTTTTGAGTTTAGATCTCATGCTACAATGATTCCCCATTCGTATTTAATATGTGGCCGTATTTGACTATATAGTGTGACAACAGAATTGCAGTTGACATTAGGTGTCCCTTAATTCTTGCATGTTGGTGTAAATTGGTGTTTGGTTCAACAGATGTGATTCAACTAAAACTCTCAGAATTCCTGAACATTGACTATGATAGTTGCCTCTTTGAGTTGATTCAGTAGCATAAATGCCTTTTGAAGTGACAGCTGGATATCTTCCATCCTTGGTTTTGAAAACTAAGCAGGAAGTATTTCCAGTGTCTGTGCATTAGAATTAATTTATATAGATCTGTACATGCCAAATCGCCATGAAAAATCATGGCACGTTCTAGTGCTCCACCATTCATTTGCTGTAGGTACTTAGATCTGTGTGAATTTAGCTGTCTTGTAGATGGGGGGCGGTTATAGATGGGGGGCGGTTACGTGAGACATGGCTTGCTGTAACAGGACCTATTACAGATCATTTAGTCCCAGGCTATGTTATTAATTCTTAACGAAACTGCTGTCATGTTGGTAGAGAAAAAGCAGACATAGGCTGTGTGCTTACCTTAGATTCTAAAGAAGTCAACTTTATTCCCTGACATGCACATTCTTTTCCAGGCACTCAATTGGAATTTGAGTCCTCTTACAGCCGTGTCCTGGCTAAATATATACTTGCAAGTTGCGTATTTAAATGAGTTCTATGAGATGTTGCTGCCACAGTATCCTCAACAGATATTTGTGCAAATCGCCGAGGTAAGGATAGCTACAATGATGTCACCTTTATCCTGTCTTAAAGGTGGCCCTGTTGCCTTAAAAAGTGTCCTCCCCTGAGCTTTCTGTTTTTTTCTCTGTAGCTTCTGGATCTCTGCATTCTGGATGTTGGCTGTCTGGAATATACATATGGGATTCTAGCTGCTTCTGCTTTATATCACTTCTCCTCTTGTGAACTGATGCAGAGGGTTTCAGGTAAGCAGCATTTGGGGAAAAAAAAACACTAGGTTAAATAAAGGCTTGCTTTGCAAATAGGAGGGGCCTCTAATCGTCCAAGTAATGAATTAAAATCATGGATCACTCCGTGGCTTTGTTGAATCTCGAAAAAGTTATTTATTTATTTATTTATTGATTTGATTGGTTATTTATTCATTTGATTTGATTTGTACCCCGCCCCTCTAGACAGCGTCTACTCGGGGCGGCTAGAAACAGGTTGAGCTTTGGAGTTCTGCAGAACTCTGATTCAGGCATAGCTGGCACAAAATTGGGATGGGGTGAAGCAAAGGTTTTTTAAAAAAACATCTGGCCAGATGGTGATGGTCAGTCAGCCTGCAAGAACAAGATGAGATTTGTAGATTCAGTGAAAAAATCTCTGCTCACTGTAGACAAAAGCCTGGCTGTGACCTCTATAGATCTGCCTGCCATTTTGGGTGACTGTCAATGGAGACCTTGATGCTTCTGTTTTTTACTCAGATGTTACTCTCCGCTGCAACATACAGTAGTGGAGGGGGAGGGCAGGTTAGTAGAGTGACACTGAGCCTTGCCACCATCTTAGAAATCTTTCACAGCACTTTGTAGTGCCAGATCTCTGGCCTCCAAACATTGCAAGGTGACACATCTCATGAGATTTCACCTGGCTTGGCCCTACGTAGAAAGAGACTGGCCATCGAAACCCTGGCCTTTTTCTGACTGCATTACCCACGCATTGGCTCCCCTTGTTTTGGAGGTCAGGAAGATGTGTTAACTTCCTGTCTAGGGCTTAGATGGTTTTTTTCACCATACTTAGGCCATTCCTGATTTGGCTTTCATGGCCTAACAGTCTCTTTTTGTAAGAAAAAAGAAGTGTAAAGTTTTTGTGTGAGTTCTCCCAATGATGTGTTTGCTCTGTTTTTCACAATACATTCCTGGTGGAGGCTGGGATGGAAAAGGAATTCCTGGAAATCATGCCTGTCTAGCTTGGCACAACCAAGGTCAGCAGCCACTAATAGCCAATTGGCTTCATGGGGGTAAAAAGGTAAAGGTTCCCCTTGACAATTTTTGTCCAGTCGTTTTCAACTCTAGGGGGCGGTGCTCATCCCCGGTTCCAAGCCATAGAGCCAGCGTTTTCTCCGAAGACAATCTTCCGTGGTCACATGGCCAGTACGACTTAGACACGAAACGCTATAGCAACAGAAAATGAGCACCCTCGTTCCCAATACGTTGCTGTCTTTATGTCCTGCAGTAAAAGGATAATTCGTGTTTAACTGACATTGCAGTCTTGACTGCATCATACAAATTAGCCTGACAATAATAATAATAATAATAATAATAATAATAATAATAATAATAATAATAATAATAATATAGTGGTGCCTTGCATAGCGATAGCTTTGTTTTATGACGAAATCGCTTTGCGATGCATTTTTTGCGATTGCAAAAGCAATCGCTTTGCAGTGTTCCCTATGGGGGAATTTCGCTTTGTGATGATTGCAGGGAACCGATCGTCGCAAAGCCCCCATTTCTGCACAGCTCATCGGAGGTTTCAAAATGGCCGCCGGGAAAAAACCATGGCTGCCCGTTGTGTTTAGGGATGGATTCCTCGCTTTAGAGGCACCGAAAATGGCGGCACTATGGAAGATCGTCACTCAACGGTGAGCTTTAAGCCCATAGGAACGCATTGAAGGGGTTTCAATGCGTTTCTATGGGCTTTTTAATATCGCATAGTGACATTTTCATTCTGCAGTGATTTTTGCGGAACGAATTAACGTTGCTATGCGAGGCACCACTGTAGTAGTAGTAGTAATAACAATAATAACAATAATAATAATAAAAGAACTGCAAAGCAGCAGTCCAGCATAGTGTGATATTGAATTCCCAACCTCTGGCCAGGTAGAGGTGCCTACCTGAACCACTGAGCTATCCAGCAAGTATTACAGGTCGACAGATTTTCTGCTGTCTATACCTGAGAAGAGTTCCAGGAAACTGAAACCTACCTTGCTTGTAACTTTTGGCTTTTCTGTAGGTTATGAATTGTGCGACATAGAGGACTGTGTAAAGTGGATGGTTCCTTTTGCGGTGGCCATCAAGGAAATGGGGAGCACCACAGTGAAACACTTTAGAGGAATTCCTGCGGAAGATTTGCACAATATACAAACGCACATAAACTCCTTTGAGCTGCTGGTAAGTGCTGCACTGAGTGATATCTCATTGGCAAAAGTCATCTGATTTCTGCAGAGCCTCAGAACATATTTTTGAGCATAAAGAGCTGGAAATACACTGTGGAGTACGTTGTTAACCTTGTGACTTCTACAGCTATCTGCAAGTTAAGCATATTGTTAATGCAGCAAATGTCTGTGGTTTTTTTTTATAAAGGAATGTGCAGACTATTAACTATGGGGAATAATAGTTCCCGGATGTAATTTTTAATACTTAAGCCTGGACAGTTACATTCTCAGGAGTGATTCTTACTTTGTTTGGTCCCTGGATGTGCTTATACAAATCAGGAACATACATACCTATCTTTTTGACACCTAGTCTTTTAAAATGCGAGTAAGCAACTTCTGTTTTTCCAAGTACCGTATTTTTTGCTCCATAAGATGCACCTTTCCATAAGACGCACGAATTTTTTAGGAGAAGAAAACAGGAAAATATAATCTGTTTTCTTCGCTCCATAAGACGTACAGACTTTCCACCTCCCTGTTTTGTGGGAAAAAAGTGCGTCTTATGGTGCGAAAAATACGGTATATATTTCCACCATAGCCAGTAAATGAAGTATGATTGAAAATGCCGTCTGTGTCAGCTCATGAAGGGCCACTGAGATGTTTAAAATATATGAGGGGCTGTAGTCCTTTTCTGAAGACTATATTTTAGGAAGGTCACTGTCAGGCAGTACAAGAATGCGGGTCCTTCACTTCTGCTGCAGCTCTTCATGTGTTTCTTTGTGGTGAGCCACTTGCCGTAGGTTTGCGCTTGCCATCGAAAAACAGTGCAGGTCCTCTGCACACACGTGGCAAAGCGTCTGATCCTTGGCTCCTGCCGTTCTTCTCTTCTAGGACAAAGTTCAAGCCAAACAGGCCAGGCTGGCTGAGAAAAACAGAAGCTCTCCTTTGCCGACAGGGGTCCTTACCCCACCTCAGAGTAGCAAGAAGCCAGCTCAGACCTCCAAACCCCTGTAACTCGGGAAGCTGCCCAGCCTGAAGACCTCTTGGTTTGAAGTGCCTTTATTATGATCCTTCCTCCATGAGGCTGCCAGCAATGGACTGAAAAAATCTTTTTAACAAATTCTCGAAAAGGAAAGTGCTTGTTAATCTTTTTTTTTTTTAATGGAAGAAACTTGCATTATGGAAATTATTTTTATTTAACATTTGCTACTAAATGAACTGTTTTGAGTACATCCATCCATCCGAAATAACAGGCATTTGCTTGGATTGCTGCTAAGGATGGGGATACTCAGGGAGTGGAGCGGGGGAGGGGGGAGAGAGAAGGGGGTTGTGCCCTCAGCTGTTCTGCTGCAGAAAAGAAAGCTCATTTGAGCAGCTGTGGTTGCTGATCCTTTTCTCAGACCTTTTTAGTTTACAACTTGATCTTTGTTATAAATGCTCTTATGTGTCTATGATTTTTAAATAAAGTGCTGTCGTCTGTGCTTTGTGTAGCCTTTTCATATTTTTAAAACTCTGCAAGAGGGAGGACAGCATTGATAGGGTCATTTTTTTTTACTTCCACACACAGGAAAAAGGATCCTTTTTATAGCACCACTCATGTACATAATGCATTACAAGATATGAGAAGTCTATAGGTAAAGGTTCCCCTTGACAATTGAGTCCAGTTGTGTCCAACTCTAGGGGCCGATGCTCATCCCTGTTTGTAAGCTGAAGAGCCGGTGTTCGTCCGTAGACACTTTTCTGTGGTCACGCGGCCGGCATGACTAGGCATGGAATGCCGTGACCTTCCCATCGTGGTGTTACCTATACACCTACTTGTATTTGCATGCTTTTGAACTGCTAGGTTGGCAGGAGCTGAGACAAGCAACAGGAGCTCAGCCCGTTGGGCAGATTCAAACGGCCGACCTTTCAGTCAACAGCCTAATGGCTCAACGGTTTAACCTGCAGCACCACCAGCATCCCTGTGAGAAGTCTTTATCCTTCACCTATTCCCAGCTAAGAGAGAGAGAGACTGTTGCAGAGGGGAATGGCTTTGTTCAAGGTTGTGATGGTGATAAGATCCGTCTCCCATCGTTTGCCTTGAGTGGTGGCCCATCTAGCTCCTCCTAGAAAATTACAGCTAATGGTTTAATTGCGGATATAAAATCTAGCCTCTGTAATGTAACAAATGTGTGACAGGTTAAACTAGCAGTGGAACACATCAGAGAGAATCCATTCTACTCTGCTCCATCTTATCTGCCTTTCAGAAACAATATGTTTTTTGAACCATAGTATCATTATTTTTGGTAGATTATAAAACACACAGTGCATTACCATTGTTGTTCATCCTGATCCACAAGGCAAGATTTAGCTGAAACGTAGTTGCGTTTTACAAAATACCAGCAATCTGCTGAGAAAGATAATTTAAAATTATTAGATGTTCTGGAGCCCTTTGGAAGCAACATTTTGGAATATGCCTTTCCTTTGCAGTAAAGAAATACTGCAAGAAGCACAGGTTTTCCTGGTTCAGCCAGTATTCTCATTAGAATATCTGCTCCATGTATCTAAGAAACACCTGACTTTCAAAAGATGCCTGAAAATTCCATGATAGAAATAGTGTAAATGTAAAATTAGTTTTACTATTTGTTTTATTACCAACTTAGTAGCAGCAATGGGTATAAAAGGCTGGGCTTACATCATACTCAAATTCAGATAAATTTCCAGCTGATGTTTACTTTGTGGACTTTATTTTTTGGTAGAGATGAGAGTAAAGTTTATACATGATTCTTAATTTCAGATGACCACATCACATTAAATCAGCAGTTGTTCCTTCAGAAAGGGGTACTTTTTGCCCCCCTCTAAATTATCTCTCGGATTTTATGGGATAATAAAAAATGATTCGGTGTCTCCCGCTCAAAGGCCGGACCCTCTAGCCTTAACCAGCACCCTTGTCTAGACAAAGCTACTGCTGTGTTGCAGCCATATGGAAGAATAACAGTCCCAGCGGATGGATATGAGATAATCATCTATTCCCTCCTCATTTAGATATCCTGGCTTGATATGGCAAGAGTTTCAGAGCAGTGATGAGAATGGGTTAAGTTACTATGCATTTTCCCTGTGCTTGCTTGCTTCTCATTGCAACATTTCCTGAATACAACCTGGGGGATTTATTGTTCTGAGAATTCAGAGCAATAAAAGATATAGAAGCCCCTAGAGTGGTTGACCGTTTTTGCTCTGCTTTTGCCCTGATGTCTTCAGCTTACACTGAGGTTACACAATTGGAGATCTAGAAGGACCACTTAGTCCACCATGTAAAGAAACCAGATCATACCAATGAAAGGCTGTCCAGTTGTACTTCGAACACCTCCGGAAGGGAGCATCAAACATTCTCTCAGTAGCTTCTCAGCTCTTTGTCCTGATCAAGGTGGGCAGTTCTGTCTCTTGAGCGGGTCAGTCTGTTACAGACTGCCCAGCATCCACTAAATTAGGCTGCTACTTTAAGGGGTGTTGCCGGTCCTGAAGTGAGGTTCAGCTTCCAGTCCATACGGGTTCCGTAAATGGACGGGAGGGGCTGCAATTTTGACTTTGTCTCAGGCAGCAAAACATCTTGAGGTGACCTTGCATGCTTTTTAAATTACATGTTTAGTTCGCCTTTCCTCTGAAAGTCTTTGAGCTGTGTGGTTATTTTAGGTGAAATGTTCTGACAATGCATTTTAAGAAAACCCCACAATAACTGTGTTTTGCCTTTCCTCTGCCTACCGGAAGCCTCTTTGCAAGGATCCTCTTCCATATGGCCACCGATGGAGATTGTAGGCTTGGGTCCTGTTGCTTTTCTGAAGCGAAGCAGCTGGAGCCACTGATAAGTGAAGCAGAAGACTGGTGTGGAGCTAAGTATAGCCCCGGCTGAAGATTGAAATATTCACTCGCCGTCATGAGGGTGGGGAGCCAAAGCACTTTAATTTCCTCAAATTAAAGGCAGCCACAACTGTTCTTTGCAAAGTTGGCAGAACGATCATGTCCCTGTTGAACAAGTCAAGTAGAAAGCATGGCCTCTTCGTGGGACCTTGCCTAATGCACTTCACAGCAATTTCGGGGGGACTTCTAAAAATCACCCTGTCCCTCCGAATGCTTCACCCAGCCATGTGCATTTGAGTGAAAATACCTCAGGGGCTGCCTGTACATATAAATTCTTCCTGAATACATGAGTTCTCAACGTATTTGTTCGTGAGCTGGTTGAATAATCCACTGTTCTTAGCTTTGATCCTGTGTTCTAATGATCTAAGCTGCCCTCGGTCCTTTCGTAAGGGAAAGATGGGGTAAAAATATTAGAATAAATAAATAAAGTTGCATAAATGCCCATTCAAAATGTTCCTGGATTGCAACTACCTAGGGTAAAAGAGCGGTACAGCCATGGAGGGTAAGTACAGGATGGAAAAGGAGATTAAAGAGTTGTCCCTCCCCTACCTAGGGTAAAAGAGCTGTACAGGATGGAAAAGGAGATTAAAGAGTTGTTCCCTCCCCTAAATACAAGTGTGTTTAATCTATTAATGTTGCAATGATAAGGAATATTGGAAAATGAGCAGAGGTAGGATATAACCAGATATGGGTAACTAAATTACCTATGAGAACTAACTACTTTTTGGTACAAGCAGTGTAAAAAATGATTATGTTATAATAGAAGTAATGTACCAAGTAGTGAGAAACTTCCTTTTTGTAGAATGGATGGTGCTTTCTAGTTCCTTAAAAACTATTCTTAACATTTTGAGAGCAATTTTTCAAATTTTTTGCCAATCTCTCTTAAGCGTCAAGGGAATTAATTTTTGGTTGGGTTTTCTTTTTCTTTTGGTTTTCATTTTTGGATTATTGGGGGGGGGGAGTAGAGTTAGAGCTACCACATTGACCGTGTTGTTGTTCGGGAAGGTCTGTGTTTGGCTTCTTCGAGGTCGTTGGTTGGAGAAAAAGCTCTGTTCACTCCAGGACTGGGTCTTGAGATAGCTCAGTAGTAGAGATGGGCACGGATCGCTGGCTTGGCTGTTCGGCATGGTTTATTTCCCAGCCAAGCAGCTGATCTGCTGTTCAGCACTTTGCCCCTTCTTAATTCCGGCTTGGGATTCCTCCTGTCCAGCCTTTCGCGTGACGTATTCTGCACATAAGTTAAATAAGCAGGGGGACAATATACAGCCTTGTTGTACTCCTTTCCCAATTTTGAACCAACCAGTTGTTCCATATCCACTTCTAACTGTTGCTTCCTGTCCCACATATAGGTTTCTCAGGAGATGGATAAGGTGATCACTCCCATTTCTTCAAGAACTGGCCATAGTTTGCTGTGGTCCACACAGTCAAAGGCTTTTGTGTAGTCAGTGAAGCAGGAGTAGATGTTTTTCTGGTACTCTCTCTGGCTTTCTCCATAATCCAGTGCATTTTAGCAATTTGGTCTCTAGTTCCTCTGCCCCTTCGGAATCCAGCTTGTACTTCTGGGAGTTCTCGGTCCACATACTGCTGAAGCATGCCTTGTAGGATTTTGAGTATAACCTTGCTAGCGTGTGAAATGAGTGCAATTGAGTGCAGGAATGTTGTTGTTGTTTAGTTGTTTAGTCATGTCCGACTCTTCGTGACCCCACGGACCAGAGCACACCAGGCCCTCCTGTCTTCCACTGCCTCCCAGAGTTGGGTCAAATTCATGTTGGTCGCTTCGGTGACACTGTCCAGCCATAGTGTCCTCTGTCATCCCCTTCTCCACTAAAAGGAATACAGGACATGATTTCTGGAGTCAATGGGTTGCAATTTTATTCAGTTTTTTGTTGCTTTAGAATGAACTATGCTCTTTTTCTCATTATTTTTTTCCAAATATTTGCTGTGCTGTTCAAAAGAAATAGTTTACCAATACTTGTAAAATCAGTAATCAATACAGTAGGACCGTGGTATTCTTGGGGATCAGTTCCAAACCACAACCACAGATAATGAAAATGTGGAAGTATCAAACGCTATACATTGCGTGGTCTCTCCCTCCACCTAGTGACCAATTCAGGTGTACATGCACCCTGCAATATGTATAAATACGTATTTCTGAGGGTTTTTATTTAGTATTTTCAAGCAGTGGATAAAGGAATCAGCGGATACGAATCCTGTGGATAGGGTGGTTGTATTGTAAGACTATGGCTGGGCCTGTATGTACTGATTGAAAATATTAATCACTACCTAAATGCCTATACCAGTATGTGCTGATACAGGGCAGGCGTTCCCACCCCAAAATGTACGGAGTCAGTTTACAGCAATGATGTGTTGGCTGGTCAAGGTATGTTGCATGTATGGCTGCCTAGTCACCACTATCCCACCCAGACAAGCTTTCATGCTCTTTCTGTCTGAGCTCAAGTCAGTAGAATCAGCCAGTGGGAGAGAACAAGGGGGAGGCTACATGTTTTTCCACCACCTCAGTCTTTCTGCTTCTTCCATGCTCAAAGGGAACAGCTGAACATCGGTAACAAATAACTTCAGGGGTTGG